ATCTTCTTCGGTTTTCGGTAAGATCATTTCGCAAATTTCTCTCAAACGCAAACTCATTATACAATAGATCACTGTAGAATTCCCATATTTCCTCAGATCCCTTTGGTTTAATATTTTTGAGCTTACCTATCTTACAAGTAAACTGGTGCGTGGAAGAGATTCGAAGTTGGATCGAACTAAAAGACGTCTGTGGACTCCTTTCAATCTGATATGGTTTGACTTAGTTGGAACTTTATGCTGATGCTGTCCTCACACTTGGGAATATGTTTCTACATCCACAAATGGTATAAGTTAACCAAATCACAAAAATGCTTTGGTTTAGATTAAGCATACAGCAGTGATGCTCTTCTCCCGAGATGTCTGTCAAGTGGCATGATATGACATGCTATGACATGACCCTTTCCTCGCACCCGAAGAAGATTGTCTCGAAGACAGTCTCGCCGAGAAGGCTCCAGTTTAGCTCAAATGGTACCTGAACCGAAAGGAATGTGTCGTCGGCTTCCCGTGGATTGATCGTTAAATCTCTTCATCGCGCAATTCTGATCCGAACTGAAGATCTGGTAGAACTTCTCGAGAGATCTGTTGTTCTGCCTTCAGCCCTCAATCAGGCCGATATGCGAACTTCTTTCTAGCCACTTTTCTAGTCGAACTATTCTGATCCTCCATCGACGATCATCAGGGCTTGCAGGAAAAGCATTTTTATTGTCTCGATTCGACGATGGCCATTCCAGTTGCCTCGACTGGGCTCATTGTGGGCTTGTGAAAAGTGATTCTAAGAATGACGAGCCTCAAAAGTGGGACAAAACAGGATTTTTCCTGTACCAGATAAAGTGAGCAATACAGACTAAATGTTTCTTAACCGGTTTTCTCGAGGCGTCATTTCGTCAAGTGACGGTGTATTTTGACTCATTGCTCGGCACAAAAATGTGTTAAACTCCTCTTTCACCATCTTCAGGTGATAATGCAGTCAAAGAGTGAGCCTAACTCTTTCTCAACCACACTGTCACGATTCTCTTCTTCGCCGATGCAGCATCAGTTCGTCTTCTTCATCTCCCCTTACAACTGATTGGGTTGCCTATTTGCGGTATCACTTTGACGACGTGTTGTTGGTTGTCCTCGGAGACAGATTTTCTAACACTCTCCTTCTCCCTCTCCTCCCCACCTTTTGTCCTTTCTGTCTGTCGTCTGCTGTACCAGTCACGGAACCGAGTGTGCCGGTCTCATTGCTGCTGTGGCCAACAACAAGATCTGCTCACATGGCATCGGCTTTCGCTCCAAAGTGTCAGGTAATTTATTTGCACGATAGTGTGTCTTCTCATCTACCCTGAAACCGTCTGTACCTGGAAAAAGATACAGATCGTCTTGTCAAAGTTGTTTTCCCTTTTGACCAGTTTTTTGTGCTGCCACTTCGAAGCTATTTTAAGCGCGCATTCTAATGCTTCGTTTGCATTAAACTTTCAACAGCTT